ATATATAATATGTCTGTGACCGGGGTTGAAGTAATTCCGATGTAATATCATTTTTCACTTTTTCCTTTCTTTGCTTCTCTGATATGTATTTTTGATGGAAATTTTTCGCAAATCTTTCGTAAACATCTGTAGGTATCCACTGAATTAAGCAGATCCTGAATCTGACACTTCCTATTTGTTTTATAAGAGTTTCCGTTTAAGTGACCACCATTACCCCGTTTTTCTCTAACTATATCACCACTTCATATATATAATTATATATTTTTACATATTTTATATATATAGCATCTTTTATATAATTATGATTAGATCTAATTATATATGGACAATTTTTCCCCGGTTTACTACTCCGTTTCTCTCGTCTCATTGACCATTTTTTTCATTCCTTTCTTATTCCAGTTACTATTTCGTTTACCATTTTTTCTATTCTGTTTGCGAACTCTAAAATTCGAGAGGAGAGACGGGCCGGTCGTCAAGGAGCGATCGGTTTGATGCGGAGAGAGAATGACGAGATGGTACAAACCGCTTGTATTCCATTCGGCGCGTTCGCCGTTTATTTCACCCCTAAGGCACCTCTCGACGTACGTCAAAGGGTCGAGTCTGGCTGCCAGGACCTCGCGCAGTAGCGCGATGTACGCGATGGCCAGGCGCAGGGTGTCGATCTTCGACAGTCTTTTCTCGTAAGGGAACGTCGGCACATGCACCCGGAGCTCGTCGAAAGCCGAGTTGATGCTGCTAAAAATTGCAATCCCACTGACAATCCGGACTCAACCGAACAGCGATGGAGAAAACGATATTTGGCGTCTCAAGATGGAACGTAGGCATAATTAATCGCCAATTAAGTGACTCCACTCACATTGAAATATCATAATACTTACGTCGCGGCAGCAAACTGAAAAGGGACTTTTTGTCTTTTTCTCTAGCATTGATAACAAGAAATGCGTTCGGCGCTGATTATTTCCGCAAATTTCTTACCTGAGCATGCGTTTCCTCTCGCGAATGTTGGCGGCGTGTCGTTGGATTCTGTAAGGGCTACCGTTTGGATAATAACCCTCCTCCACACCGTTTATCTCCGTGTCGTTATGATCTGACACAGTAAAAGACATTTTGTACTTATATAAAAAAATGGTTCTTGTACAAAATTTTTGTATCGGATTTTTAACATACCTAAGTGTGTCAATTTAACATATTGTGTTTATGTTATCTCAATATTTTGTGTCGCGTCGATACTCAGCACGCATGTCGATTAACGTATTAATTTTGCGTTAATTTTTGACACAATATTTGGGTTACTTTTCAACCTTGCGTTATATTATTATTCACCTTGCGTTAAATTAACGCAAAAATCTGAGCAGGCATACCGTTTGTAACAAATGAAATATGTTAAATTTAACACAAAATCTTTTTTTTACGGAGAGAGAATTTGCGCGATTTATGCCCGATCCATTTATCTACCATCTTGGTTTAAATCTATGATTAATTCAACAAAATTGACCAATCGCATTGATCAATTCATCTAATTCGCCATTGGTTACTTTTATTATGCTAATCGTCGATTAGATTTAAACCATGATGGTGAAGCCGGGCATTATTCGGCGCTCGCTTACCTGGTGTTGAGACCGGCATGTGGTAATGCAAAGGAGAATGCGTGTGCGGCGAGGTGTGCGTGACATGTTGCGTCGACCTGCCTGCGTAAACGCATGACGGCAATTCCGCCAGATCTTCTTCGCTGATGTCGCTGCTGGGCCCCACATAATACTGTGTACTGCAAAACGCAAACAATTAAACACAATAACGGAAATAACACGAGGTTCATATTATCGAAGTGAAAAACATAACAATACACGATATCTTGAATTTTTCTCGTAACGAAACAAAGGAAATTTACTTCGTCTAATTGTACACAGTTATTGAAAGTTATTTTTAATAAACATTTAATTGACGGTCGAATGAAAAATTACTAATAACGAACGATAGACCCGTTTATGCATGTTTTTCGTGCGATATAAATATTATTTCTTAATGTATCGATGTTGTCACAAAATTTTCGTAAGATTGGTCGTTTAGATCTTTGTAAGATCTATACTTAGACACAGCACATCTAAAATCGGGTCGTAAGACGTCTTAAAGGTGTCTTATGACTCGATATTAAACGTTGTACTGTCTACGCATATTGGATTCAGATTAAAAATAAAAGTTTTTGCTTCAATTTTAACATCATATATAGCAATATATTCAATAAAGATGTAACTGTATTACGTATAATGTAAAAAAAAACCCATTACTCATTTTAAGTCCAAACTGTGACTGGTTACTTATAATTGATTACTACGCGTGCACTCATCGTTGCCGAAAAATCAAGAATATTTTGGCACATTAAACAAACACGAGAATCTGTCGCGATCTCGTCGAGATTATCGAATTATAAACCTCCGTTTAGAATATTATAATAAATAAGAATCAGGAAAGAACGTTAAGATGAAACATTTATTACACCGAGAAAAATCTTTGATATTCGCAACGGCAATCGTCATAAGTGAAAGAATTATAATCAGGACAGGCATTTTCTGGTAAATGTTGCTATCGTGTCGGTAATAGCCCAATAAGCAAAAAAATCATTAACGCAACGTTATTATAATGATATTTTATAAGATGTAACGTTTTCAAATATGTAATTCTTAATGTTGTACAACGTCATTGTATACAACACACACAATATTTGATCCACGCATTCAAAACAATATTTCTACATTATGATAAGTAAGAAAATATTACGAAATATATTATCAAGTAACAACTCAAGAACATTTGTAAAATATCATTTGTAAAACTATTTGCAAAATCCACGTAAAATCAATATTTCAAAGGATTGATTTAACGTTTCTTACTTACTGGGTATAACCTTGCATGCATATTGCACCTATTACTTTTTCGGGTTAAACCAGAAGAAGATCGAGGACGAGAACGACTATATAATTTTAGGGAGATTTCTCTCGGTGTACACACAAGAATCGTTCGATCCGGAGAAAGAAGAGCAGCGCGGGGAGCGGGGGAATAACAGTACCTGCTGCAAGCCACGGTGGAGTCCGCGGGTCTCGACGCGGTGCCGACCCGATGGCGGATCCTCTGGCCTCGGTCCTCGAAGTCGTACGCCGGATGGTGATTCGCCATAACGCGCCTCCGTCGGCTCTCACGATCTCATTCGTCGTCGGCACCCCCCGCGAGGCCGACGAGTGCCACGAGTCCACGAACAACCCCACTGAGCGCGTGGCTCAACTTCTCCGCTGCCGATTTACCTCCCTCTCGTTTCCCTCCCTTTCTTTCCTTTTCTCAGAAAAATCGGGGAAATTCTCTGGCCGTTCTCGAGCCTCGACGGGTGATTCGCGATCTCGTTCCTCCGGCTGTCGGTGAATCGATCTCACCGCGACCGACCGATCGACCGGCCGATCGCTCGCTCGCTCGCACGGGGGTGTCCGCGCGGGAAACTCGCGGGATCCGGACTATCGCTGGTATCCGGGGAGGCCGCCTTATATATGAAAGACTCCCTCACTCGCGAGGGGATGATCGATACCAACCCCTGGGCGGGTGCGCGTCCAATGGCGAGTCGTTACGCTCGTCGGGCGCGATTATCAGACGCTTGCGGGATTGGCGAACCAAGTCCGCTATAGCGACGGTTTTATCGGCGTCCCTCCAGCACCCCCGCAGAGATTTTATTCACCCCCCTCCACTGGCCGACCGACCGACCGTTCGTCGCCGCCGTCGTCTCGACGGGGGGCGCGGGGGTGGATTTATTCGAGACGGGAGGGGTTGCTCGGCGAAGGGCGGTGGGACGGTTTTTCAATTTCGTCGAAAGCACGGCTAAAATATCACGGGCGTTCTTTGATCACAAGTGATTTCCTTCCGCGCTCCTTCCGCCTCGGCTCTCTCTGTCTCTTTCTCTCTCTCTCTCTCTCTCTCTCTCTCTTTCTTTCACCTGGCCTCCGTCGTTTCCCCGATACGACGCACCAGTCTCCTCTGTAAGGCTTATTTTATAGCGCTCCGCGGCCGAAGCGGAAAATTTCGCCACCGTGACTCGCGACGTGTACGAGACGCGGGCTGCGTGCGAAGATTTCTGAAATCGGTTGGCTAATTCTATAATTTTTAACGACGGTGTCGTTATCGTTGTTCACAGGGAAAAAGATTTCTTTGGATTGATATAAAATTTCTTCGATTGAAAAAAGTTTGTCTTTTGGAGCGGAGTATCGATGTAACGATTATAGTTACAAATATAAAATATTTTTCTCTCAGCGTACGCCCGCAAGTGGAAAAGATGGAAATATCGTCGCGAACGGGAAATTCATGTTTCACACGGTCGATTAATTTTTCGATTAACACGACCCGACGGTCGTGAAAGGTGCATTTAAAACGACCACGATGATCGCGGAATCGTTCTTTTTACCCGTGACAGCCTGAGAAAGCATCATCCGGGATGACGTCTGAAGACTAGCCGGGAGTGGTCGACCTGCGGGCGCAGCGGTGCGTCTCTTTTAAGGGCGCGATTATTAGCCTTCCCATTGCGGTATGAATGGAGGCGATATTCAAATGAGCTGTGTTTAGTGCACGCGCGAGAGAAGAGAGAAACGCGACGGCGACGGTGGTGGCGGCGGCGGCGGCGGTGCAATTATGCGAGGTGTTAATACGATCACAATAGTGGTTCACCGGGGTTCTACCAACTACAACGCGGGCCGGACAAAGTTTTGTCCCCGTGAAAACGAGTTCGGAACGAACGAGAAAGACGGAGAGAAAGCGAGCGAGCAGATCCGCGGTCGGTCCTCTCGCCCAAGGCATTGCCGGATTATTATTGGCCCGCTGAGCGACGATATGCATATAATTGGGATTTAGGCCCTCGAACCTGTGTGAGAACACGTCGTCCTTACGTGTATACGCATCGTAGCAACCCTTCCGCCCCGGTGAGAGAAAGGAAGAAAGAAATAGAATGAGAGAGAGAGATAGAAAGAGACGATCGACAGGCCGCACGCACGATCTGCATATTTCAACGTTATCTCGCGACGGAGAGAGGGATCGATCCGAAATTAATATAATATACGCGAGGGAGGGGGCAGGGGGGATGGATTTTGGACGAGTGAATACCGGGTGAATCCGAGGTCGAGCGCGTGGAGCTCGACGAGAGGCGCGACGAACAGGCGATAAAGCCGCGGCTCGATAATCGCTCGCACAACACGGCGAGATCGCGTGGAAAATTCGCGACGAGAGATAGAGAGATAGATAGATAGATGGAGAGAGAAAGGAGGAGGGAGGGAGACTTTTTCGATGGCCACGCGCGATTTCGTCGTGCGTGAGTGTGATCCGCGCGGCCGTGCAACGCGCCAGATGTAACTCGAGTGCGTCCTATCCGCGCGCGCATCGCTTCGCGACGGGCTCGGGAGCGTGCCGTTTCGAGAGTATCACCATGACAAATTTCGAGTGAGCTTTGTGTTGTCCCCGCAAAACTATTATTTATCTCAATTTGTCGCGTTCGTTTAAGGGGAGAGCGCGACGCGGACTCCGAGATCCGAGCCCCGCGAACGTCTGCCCTTTCTACCTTCCCGCCCCCTTCGTCCCTTTATCATTCGCGGGTATCGACCCGAGTTGCGCGAGCCGCAATGTATATATTTGCGAATACATTTTTCTCTCGCCGTCGAGAAGAAACTTCGCCACAGATTTCTCGTCGAACGTCCGTGCGGTCGCTCTTCGTTCTTGTTTCGTTTGCCGCGTCTCACCGAAGGTTTACGCGCTTTGTCATTCGTAGAAAAAAGTAATTTATCTCGACAGAATGGTTTCTTTACCACGGAGTAACCTGATTCCGTCAAGCTATTTTTTGAACACCGAGAGGAAAGTATTTAAAGAATAAAAGATCATTCATTCGTCGCAGGTACTGATAACACGTTGGCTCAAATCCGAATCCTTTGATTCGGATCGAATAACAAATTGTTCTCTCGTGAAAAGTTACTCCACTGCTAGGCATATTTGTAAACGTATATTCTCTCATTCGTAAAAAAAAAAATGCCGACAAGTATCGTATTGTATAAAGTATACAATAAATTATCACACAAATATATACATCATTCTTTATGTTCTATACGTTCTATATTTACACGAGAGCGAGAGTAAGCGCGCGTGTCCGCGAGATCGCAGTCACCGGAGTCAGATCCGCTTCCGATTGGATTTCCTTGAGTGATGATAGGCCCCGACGGAGATGGTCGATAGCCGTGCAAACATTTAATTCGCGATTACATTATTTTCGAGGGGCAAGGTTTCCGGGTCGACTCCCCCCTGTCAGCGCCAGTGCATCCCCCTTCGGCACGCGTGTCCGCAGGGTCGGTACGGGACGGGTTCGCGAGGCACGCCGAACCCTCGGAATAATAGAGATTTCACGCCGCGGGGCCCACTTCGGTTCTCACAGTAGGGGTCTGGGTCGGACGATCTCCTGTTGTCCGGCCGGCCGATCGCCCGGCGCTCGTTCCTGCCGGGACATTTCATTCGCCGTCCCCGCGGAGAGGGAAGCGCGTGCCTCTAAGTATCTGTTTATAGTCTCGGGGGATCAATTTGTTTGCGAAATTATTTATTGGTCAAACGGACGGACGAGTGCGGCGCCTCGCGCGCGCCGCGATTCTGTTTGATCTGCGATCGGAAGCCCGGGCGCTTTGGGAAAAGCAAACATCGGCCGCCGCAAGCGCGTCGATTCTGTTTGTCTGTTTAACCGCGACTCGTCGGTTCCGCGGACGTTCGCGAAGAACGAGCGCGAAGAAGCGGGTCATTTAAAAAGACAAAAATGCGTACTGTATAAATGCGGTGTCTGCAATGAGGATTTCAAGGGTAAGATTTGAAATTTGAGCCTTAAGCCGCGAGAAATTGACCAATCGCAAGCTATTGTGAGAAGAATAATCGATCGTATCTGGTCGATTTCTTAACGCTCGAAGCTTAAAACTTAAGTCTTGCGCCTTAAATTCTGATTGTAGGCACTGCTTAAGGTGGTTCTATCGTACAGTATTAGGGTATTGAGGGTTTTCGAAGTCGCGGCTCGGCGGCGCGGCCAGCGGGCTTCCTCCTAAATTGCATTTTAATGAGAAATGGAATTAATTGAAAAATGTCAATGGCAGCGAAAACAGTTCGCTGACAAGTTTCTGATCATGGGAATCTTTGGAAATTGTGCTTTGAATGGTCGAATTTCTTCCCAGCAGAGAATGACGATGTGAAAATGATGAGAAAATCGATCGAAAGGTGAGTTTTCCTAGTTATTCTCTCGTCATAGCGACATCATAATGATTTTCTCTTCCATCTTAAGTTCCTCCTGCGATTTTCATCCAGAATCAAAATCTATTCAGATTGGTACCTCTTCCCTGCATAATTTACTCTATTAATTAGATCGGCGAATGATTCGCGCTCGAGCATGTTGTGTATGAAGGTAGAGAAAATATATATATATATAAACGTACAACAAAGTTTAAAGGTCTGTCCGAAGCAGCAATCCGAAAATTAGATATTTCGTTCCGCAGAAAAATCGACTTTTCGGGAATTACAGGCGCGTATTCCGATTTTGTAGCTACGCTTTATTTCGCGCGCACAAAAGCCAGATGGCAGATTTATTTACTGCATAATACGCCATCCGACATTCTATGACGCCGCGTTTATTATGTAACTCGTTCGCTACGTCAACCGCAGTCGGTTCGTATTCACGAACGGCCGATTAAAATCGGCACAGTATGTTATTGCGTAACTATGTTGTCCCCGGAGAGTCGCACCGAAATATCGCGCGAGTTTGCACGAAACACGGAGGGTGGGA